TATTAGAAGCTGGTATCATATAACAAATTTCGGATAGTGAATGGGTAAGCCCAGTCCATGTGGTACCCAAGAAAGGAGGTATCACTGTTATGGAAAATGAGAAAGGTGAGCATGTGGCAAAACGAACAGAAGGAGGATGGCGTATGTGTATAGATTACAGAAAGTTGAATAAGGCAACGAGAAAAGACCATTTCCCTCTCCCATTTATAGATCAGATGCTTGAACGTCTAGCAAGACACTCATATTTCTGCTATCTTGATGGGTATTCGGGGTTTTTCCAAATCCCTATTCACCCAGAGGACCAAGAAAAAACCACATTTACTTGCCCTTATGGAACATTCGCTTATAGACGAATGCCCTTTGGACTCTGTAATGCACCTGCCACTTTCCAACGTTGTATGATGTCAATTTTCGCAGACTACCTAGATGGAATTATGGAAGTATTTATGGACGATTTTTCAGTGTGTGGGTTTGATTTCAAAAACTGCCTCTCAAACTTAGAGAAAATCTTAAAAAGATGTGTGGAAGTAAACCTTGTGTTGAATTGGGAAAAGTGCCACTTTATGGTAAATGAAGGGATAGTCTTGGGACACATTATTTCTGAAAGAGGTATAGAAGTTGATAAGGCCAAGATAGAAGTTATAGAAAACCTAAACCCACCTAAGACCGTTAGGGAAGTAAGAAGTTTTCTAGGACATGCCGGGTTCTACCGACGTTTCATCAAGAATTTTTCCGGAATAACAAAACCTTTAACTAACTTATTGATGAAGGATGTCGAGTTTGAATTCGACCAAAAATGTCTTGAGGCCTTTGAAGTTTTAAAGCAAGCTCTTATTTCAGCACCTATCATAAGACCACCTGATTGGACACAACCCTTTGAAATCATGTGCGATGCTAGTGATTTCGCTGTAGGAGCTGTACTAGGGCAAAGAAAAGACAAGAAACTGCATGCTATTTACTACGCTAGTAGAACACTAGACGCTGCCCAGCTAAATTATACAACCACAGAAAAGGAATTGCTAGCCGTAGTTTTTGCTATTGATAAATTTCGATCTTATTTGGTGGGAGCAAAAATAATAGTATACACAGATCATGCAGCAATCCGGTACTTGTTAAGTAAGAAAGATGCTAAGCCTAGATTGCTCAGATGGGTTCTTTTACTCCAAGAATTTGACTTGGATATTAAGGATAAAAAAGGAGCTGAAAACTTAGTAGCTGATCATCTCTCTAGGTTAGAACACCTTAAACCTGAACTTATACCTATAGACGATCACTCTACTTATGAAAGATTAATAGCTGGGATAAACTCAACTGAAGAAGAGACCTATGAGGAAATCTCAACCTTGAACAACATACCATGGTACGCAGATATTGTGAATTATCTGGCCGCTGATATCATACCCCCTGACTTAAGCTACCAACAGAAGAAGAAGTTTTTTAGTGATGTTAAACACTTCTTTTGGGATGAACCCCTCCTATTCAAAAGAGGAATAGATAATATATTCAGACGATGTGTGCCGGAAGAAGAAGTAGGCAACGTCATTAAACATTGTCATGCTGCACCTTATGGTGGACATGCAAGCACATCTAAAACATGCGCCAAAATATTTCAAGCAGGTTTTTATTGGCCTACTGTATGGCGCGATGTCCACATTTACATTACAAAATGTGACCGATGCCAACGCACTGGGAACATCTCAAGACGTGATGAAATGCCTTTAAGTAACATCCAAGAAGTGGAAATATTTGATGTCTGGGGTATAGATTTCATGGGACCTTTTCCTTCCTCAATGGGTAACAAGTATATCCTAGTAGCTGTCGATTATGTCTCAAAGTGGATAGAAGTTGTTGCATCACCCACAAACGATACCAAGGTAGTTATCAAACTGTTTAAGAATATTATTTTTCCTAGGTTTGGAACCCCGAGGTTAGTCATAAGTGATGGAGGATCGCATTTTATATCTAAGATATTTGACAAGCTTCTAAGCAAATACGGAGTAAAACATAGAGTAGCAACACCATATCACCCGCAAACCAGTGGCCAAGTAGAAGTATCGAATAGGGAGATTAAGCAGATCCTAGAGAAAACCGTATCATTATCCAGAAAAGACTGGTCTGGAAAACTTAAAGACGCCTTATGGGCTTATAGAACGGCTTATAAAACCCCTATTGGAACAACTCCTTATCAATTGGTTTATGGAAAGTCCTGTCATTTACCCTTCGAACTAGAACATAAAGCCTATTGGGCCATTAAATCCTTGAATCTAGATTACCTAAAAGCCGGAGAAAAACGTATCCTGGACATTCACAAGCTGGAAGAGCTTCGCTTGAATGCCTATGAGAATGCCATCATATATAAGGAAAGAACCAAGATGTGGCATGATAAAAAAATCATCAAGAAAGATTTCAACATTGGTGACCCTGTTCTCCTATTTAACTCAAGGTTACGACTTTTTCCTGGTAAGCTTCGTTCAAGATGGACAGGTCCATTTGAAGTGTCAAAAGTTCTAAAGTCTGGAGCAGTAGAAATAAAAAACAATTCATGCGCTCCATTTGTGGTAAATGGACAAAGACTGAAGCTATACAAAGGAGGCGATTTGCCTGTTGACTACTCTAGTCATATTCTTATAGACCCACCAATACCCACATAAAGTAAGATCTAATCGCCAAGCTAAAGACGTTAAACAAGCGCTGCATGGGAGGCAACCCATGGTTTATTCTTAATTTTATTTTATTTTATTAATTTATATATGTTTTATCTGGACTAATTTCTTGTGTTTATATTTTCAGGATGCATTACCCCGATGGTATGGTTGTGATTTTCAGGGATGAAGCACAAAAAGCCCGATTTGCTACCTTATCTGCTAGACCTATGGTACCCACTAGGTACCCCGATCAGAGCTGCATGGAGGCACTCGAGATTGAGCCAAGTATTAGGTATCTGTGCAACCAACTTGGCTGGGATTATTATGCTGATGATGTCCACAAAACCTACAGGAACCTTACTCTGGAGTTTCTTAGCTCTGTGGATTATAACCCATGGGTGGGTGAAGGAGATGAACGAGGATTCCTAAGTTTCAGATTGTTTGGTACCGAGTATACCCTGACCATCAAAGAATTTGGGGATTTGCTTGGTTTCCAAACTGGACCGACCGCTATCACTGAGTTACCATTGAGTTACTATATGGACAGAGATATTGATAAATTTTGGCAGGACATTACTGATGGAGCCAGCCTTGACCCCTCTACCCAACTGTCCAGGAAGATCCATAACCCAGCTTTCCGATACTTCGAGATGATTCTGTGCCACACTTTCTTTGGGAGGAGTTACTGTGACCACTTAGTCACCGCTGAGAAGATCCTTTTCCTATACTGTGCCAGTCAGTCCAGACCTATAGCTAGTGGAGGTTTTCTGATAGAGAGCCTCGAGCAGACTGCTCGATCCGCTGTAGGACTCATTCATTCCGGAGGGAATGTGACACAGATAGCTTCTGCTTTGGGTTTGGACAGTATGATAGCACAGCTGACCCCATACTGTGGATATACTTTCCTGGATTTAGACTTTTGCATGGATCGTGGGCTCATGAGGAGGGCCTCTTTCCACCCATATCAGTACAGATTGCTCATTGATGACCAGACAGTTTACACCTTCACACTGCCAGACCCTCAGATGACTTGTGTTTCCAACCCTGCTAATTGGAACTATTCTGTAGAAGGTTGGGGTGAGATATCAGAGTATGCCCCAGAATATACTCCTGCTTCCGAAGATCCCACTCCAGAATACACTCCTGCTTCCGAAGATCCTACTCCTGAATACACTCCTGCTCCCGAGGACTCTACTCCAGATCACACATCCCGACCCGAGGTTACACGCACTACTGTTCTTACTAATAACCTCAGCTTGCAGGAACCTGATATTCGCACTCTGTTGACTGCTATGTGCACTGAGATAGCCACTCTCCGCAATGAGGTGGCTGACCTTCATTTACAGTTGGAACTGAATGATGTTACCTTTGCTGGTGAGTTAGATGAATTAGCTCACGAGGTGGCAGAGATTCGACGCCAGCTGACTGAGCTGCGTGGCCCAGACACTCCTGCAGAGCATCCTCCCGGTTGGCGATAGATCTGTGTTATTCACAAGATCTCTAGTTCTAGTATTATTAGTATTATGTTGATTTCCTTTTCAGACTCATTTTTATTTGCATTATCTGTTTCCTGCATTATTAATAACTATTTTGGTGACCCGATGTCCGTACCTATATATATATATATATATATATATATGCATATGTGTTTTTTTTCTCTATATATATCTTTCATTTACTAATGTTTTTGTTTTTCTGGTCACCATAATGAAAATTTTGATATAAAAATAAATAAATATACATGTATATATGTATTCACATACATATATGCACATTCGTAAGAAAACTAGGTACACCTCCAAAAATTGAAGCTAATGGCAAGGAAGGAAAAGCCCAATGGAAAGGAAGCAAGACCGGCCCAACTTGGCTCGCCCTGACCGCGCCCGCGGTGATCCCTGCCGCGCCCGCGGTGACGTAACGGTCACCTAACGGCTAGTGGCTCGGTCTTCCCCCCATTTTGCCTCTTTTTCCACTTCCAATCCCATTTTCTTCCATTCTTAACCCCCCATAACTTCCTTTATTATCCATACCTACCCCACTACATTTATTCCCATCATAAATATTCATCAACCACCATTTTTCTTCACTACCTATAAATACCCCCACTATTTCATTTTCTTCCTCACACCTTCACTACTTCTACATCCCATTCTTTCTCTTTATATTCATCCACAAGAAAATCCTATGGAGTATCACGGCTACATTTTGCGAGATGGCCAACCCGGAGAAAGACAATAAAAGCGGCTTGAGAAATTGCTGACAACACCAATACACTCTACCAGGTATATCGATGAAAACTGTCTATATTCATTACGTATATACCATAGTGTATTTTTCCTTCTCGACAAACTAGGCATGCATGATATTTTTGCTACTCAAGCACCAACCTACCCTAGGCTGACGTTCGAATTTTTGAGTTCTTTAATTTATAACGTCTCTCCTAACACTGCTAGCGCCGTAGGTGGAGTAAAATTTAGAATGTTTAATGTTGAATATGACTACTCCACTGACGGTCTAGCTGCCATGTTAGGATGGCCTTATGGGGATGGTGCCGTTTGTGAAGCACCTTTAGACACGGATTGGGCATTTGAAACATTTTGGGCCAGGATTACTAAACAAAATGCAACATCTTTTGATGGCCTACTTGCTTCTCATATCCACAATCCTGCCCTTCGTGTTTTTAGATTTCTTTTAGCATCCACCATCTTTGCTAGGGAAAACCCAAACAAGGTGAATGCTAAAGAATTAATTATCATGCAGAGCTGCATCACAGACACCAAAGTTAATCCAGTCCCATTTATGATTGCCCACATGCACCATGTTTTAAGAAAAGGTGGGCCGATTTCCTTTGGTGGACTGATTACTACTATTGCCCGTGCCATAGGATTGGATACAGAACTTGCCACCCTTGAGCCACTTCCTCCTCGTATTGCAAATCTTAAATTTTTAAAGGATATGCGTTTATGCAAGACGAGGAGGGAAGGTGGTTACTTCCTCATGGTTGGAGGTGCCGCTGTACCCAGTGTTGTTATTCCTTGCACCCGTCGTACTGATATCAGATTTGAGCGTAACTGGACCTACGATCTTAACGCTCCTGCTTTTATTGGTCCGTTGCCCCCATATCTACCTTTAAATAAGGGTAACAACACTGATGATGAGTACGATTTCCGTACGGAAGAACCACCCCGCTTTTCACCACCACACACGACACCATCTACTTCTAACCCACATGCAGGTACATCTCCTAGTTTCCATGTCACTGAGGACATGTGGCGTGAGCATATGGCCCGAGAGGCCCAGAGGGACACCCTCCTTGCTACTTTGCAGCAACAGGCGACCGATAACATGGCCTTCATGCAAGCATCCCAACAGCAAAATGCTAGCTCTCTGCGCACTATTATGGAAAGTCAGCTGGCTTTCCAGAGAGAACAACACCTTAACCAGACCACATACGCTCGTCACTTCCAATTGATGGAGGCAACCCAAGGCACCCTCATTGGTAGGACCCAAGAGCTACAAGCGGCAAATGCCGCCTTGACAGAGAGAATAGAGCAGCTAGTTTTGGACCGAGAGAGCCGCCGTCGCAGCCGTAGCCGCCGTTCCGATCGTACCAACCAGGATGGTGAAGGTCCTAGTGGCCCCCACTAGCGTTTTCAGGTACCTCCTCCTACCTTATTTTGGAACATTGAGGACAATGTCCGATTTAAGTGTGGGAGGAGCATTTATCGCTTTTATTTCCCGTTTTTCCTGCTTTTATTTCCCTTCCGCATTTTTCCTTTTAGGTATGTTATATTCGTAGTTAATAAAATGCATGTGATAGGCGAGTCTTTCTGCGTAGTGTACCCTTTCATTTCCCCCACTTTTTAGCCTTACACAATTTTTACAAAATCTTTTTCAAAGAATTGTGGTTGTTTTTAAGGATTTGGGCTATGAGACAGGTCCTAGATAGGGTCTATTTCTTGGGCACTCACTTTTTGAAAAATTCGTTATCGTTTTAACACCGTAAGCCTTTTTGAACATTTAGATTAGATCCTTTCTTCCCAATATGCTATGATTTTGAATAAAACTGTACAAATAGGTCTTCAAGTAGTTTATCTTAGCAGTCAGCTCCGGCCTAAGCATGCTCTAAGTGTAGGATCGATGAATATAAGTGGATGATCTCTATTTTGCCTTAAAAGTTTATAAAATAAAGTATGAATACGACTACGAGTTGGGTGATCCTCACAAAGATTACTCAACTCAAGAAAGTTGTAAGCACTAATAAAAACAAAGAAAAAAAATATATATAAGGCACATCCGTTGTAGTTGGTCCAGAGGTATCTGGTGCTGGACTTGGCAGGGCGGACTACGGTCCGATCCCCCGCAACTGCAAATGGGTAAAATAAAAAGGGGTTAAACCAACTCTTGTACCAGAATCCCATCACTTGAGATCAGAGTCACTAACCGGTCACTACACCATGAGTATGTACGGATAACGGGCTTAATGTGATTGCGCCTGAATGAAAAAGGACCTCGTACAAAAAGAAGTCTTAGCATAGTAAGGATATTAGGATCGATCTGTATACTTATGAGGTTTATGTCCGCATTTCTGCGAGTAGTGTAATTACGATACCCTTGGTTCAGATAGTTAGTGCCTGACAACACACCCTTACTCGAACTTAGAAGCCCTCTTTGCCCAAAACCTGTATACACCATAATTTTCTTTCATCTACTTCTAAGAGTTGTTGCTTGAGGACAAGCAAAGGTCTAAGCGTGGGAGGATTTGATCGCACTATGTTTCTGACTCAAATATCACATGTTTTCCTTAGTTTTTATTATCATTTTCTCGTATTATGTTCCTTTTTCCTTTGTTTTCAGGATTCTTGTCATTTCAGAGCTTTCTGTGAAGAAACGAGCCAAAACGCCAAGAAATTAGGGTTTTTCAAGATATTCTGCACTTATGGCGTTCAGCGCCGCGCCGGCTACAGGGAACGCGATGACGTGGCCCACTTTCACCCAGAGACCAACTGCCACGTTCCCACGATCTGGCAGTTCCAGCCACCGCGCCCGCGGCCACTGCCACCGCGCCCGCGGCCTTCACAAAAGTTTCCCGCTCAGAAGAAGTTGAGGGGCATGCTGGTCTTTACGCATCTCAAGGATCCTCTATAAATAGTTTTCGATTTTCATTTTTTAGTTTCATCCAAGCTTAGTACAATCTTAAGCCATATACTATCAGTTTCTGTAAAGTAATAATCTCTTCACATCGGGGAGTTATTGCGGTGTAGATTGAGTTGTAATCGAGTCTTGGAGCACTTTGGTTGAAGTTCATCATACCAGCCTTACCATTCCGCAGATTTGTATCAGATTCAAGTCTCCGACTGGAGCAAGGTTCTATTTTATTGCATTTCTTTACTTATAATTGCTCTTACCATAGTCTACACGTTTTATAGACTCTAATTGCTCTTACCATAGTCTACACGTTTTATAGACTCTAAATGCTCTTACCATAGTCTACACGTTTTATAGACTCGCACTCTTTTACTTACTCGCTCTTATCATAGTCTACACGTTTTATAGACTCGCACTTATTATGTCTGGCTAAACTATAAAGGTTTGGATGTAATGATTGTCATCATGGTCGTGTTCCAATTATCATGCTAGTGAAAATACTCTGGGGATGTTTTGCTTTTAACTTAAGTCAATTATGTTTAAATGTTTATTGGGTAAGATCGAAAGCCGTCCAAACTAATGATACGACTTGATTATTATTTAACCAAACAAAAAGAGCGAAAGCCGTTGATTGGTTAAATAGGAATCATTGACCTTTTTAGAAAACGATTTTGAAACTATTTTCGGACGCGTTTTTAGGTTTGAAATCTGACTCTTGGTCAAAAGCCAAAAGTCTCTTTAAGTTAATCTTTCCAAGTAAAATTACTTTTCTGTTAAGTCAAAACTATCAATTTCTTAAAAATAGGTTTACCTCTTTAACGCGAAAGGCACCCTTTATATGTGACAATAAAGGAATTTAATTTAAAGAGTAAATTCGGTTCTTAGTAGTCAAAAGCTACAAGTTCCCGTTAAATTGATTCTTTGCTATCAATAGAAAATACTGCCCCATAAGTAGTTTCATCTACGCATGACCGGACCAATATCTGATTACATGATTTACATTCCAACCTGTCTTTTAAACTGTTATTTACCTCGCTCATTTACTTTGTTGCACTACACTCACATCAATATTCTTGTTCACCTTAGATAAGCACCTTAGCAATAGAGTTGATAGATTGACAATTGGTCTCTGTGGTTCGATAATCTTATATATTACTTCGATAGGCTGTGCACTTGCAGTACTATATTTAGGCTATACGTTACAGATCCCCATCAAGTTTTTATGATGTTAACACAGAAAAAACAGTTCTGTTCTGCGTTTTCTATTAGAAACTGAAAATGCCAAGTTTATAGACTTAGCAATACAACTGACTGCCTAGAAATTAGGAAACTGACTCACACACTAACAGCACATCCTAAATGTGTGCAAGATAATAGGAATTAAATATGAAACTGACTCACACACTAACAGCACATCCTAAATGTGTGCAAGATAATAGGAATTAAATGTAACTAACAATTAATTAAAAACAAATAATAGAAATAATTCTATACTTAAAACTGACTTATTCAACAATTCCTCCCTTAAACTGCATGCTCCTTGCAACAGTTTATCTCAGACTCGTCAAGCATTCCTAGAGCACTTAACAAATGTTGGAATTCTTCAACTTTAAGTGGCTTCGTCATGATGTCTGCTAACTGATCTCTTGTACTGCAATAATTCAGCTCAATAACACCGTCATTACATAAATTTCTCAAAAAATGAAATCGAACATCAATATGTTTACTTCTTCCATGCAAAACTGGATTTTTGGATAATTTAATTGTTGAGATATTATCACAAAAAACCACAGTAGCTTCTTCTTGACAATGACTTAGATGTTTCAAAATTCTTCTCAGCCAAACACATTGGCAAGCACATAATGCGGCTGCTATAAACTCTGCTTCTGTTGTGGATAAGCTAACAACCGGCTGTTTCTTTGACACCCAAGAAATCACACCACCTCCTAGAAAGAAGGCATAACCCGAAGTGCTCTTCCTATCATCAAGGTCTCCTGCATAATCACTGTCAGTATAGGCAATTAACTCTTTATTTCCTCCAGCCTTATAGAAAATTCCTAGATTTTGGGTGCCTTGTAGATATCTTAAAATTCGCTTTGCTGCCATGAAATGACTCTCCTTTGGATCTTCCATGAAACGACTTATCAAACTGACAGAATATGCAATATCTGGTCTTGTAGCTGTAAGGTACATAAGACTTCCCACAAGTTGTTTAAATAGAGTCGTATTGACCTTCACTCCCTTGTCTTCTTTTAATAACTTGCAGCCTGGAACTATAGGACTCTTCACGGGATTACAATCAGACATTTTAAATTTGTTTAATATATCCTTAATATATTTCTTTTGCCCAACAAAGATACCATTGCAACCTTGCAAAACTTCAATGCCCAAAAAATATCTCATCTTGCCTAAGTCAGTCATTGCAAATTCTTTCATCATCATAGTTTTGAACTCTTGAAACATCGACGTATCATTACCGGTGTATATAAGATCATCTACATAAACACACACAATTAAAATTTCACCTTTCTCTTTCTTCTTCATAAATAAAGTGTGTTCATGTGGACATTTCACAAAATCATTTGCTACAAGATGAGATTCCAGCTTGCTGTACCAGGCTCTAGGAGCCTGCTTAAGGCCATACAATGCCTTCTTAAGCTTGTATACTTTATGCTCACATCCTTGAAATACATAACCTGGCGGCTGCTCTAGGTAGACGTTTTCGTTGATTGCTCCATGTAAGAAAGCTGATTTAATATCAAGTTGATGAATACCCCACCTTTTTGTAGCTGCCAATGCAACAACAGTCCTGATGGTTTCAAGACGAGCAACCGGCGCAAAGATCTCACTATAATCTATGCCTTCCTCTTGAGTGTAACCTTTTGCCACAAGTCTAGCCTTGAATTTGTCAATCTCCCCTGTCTCCTTCAGCTTAGTTTTGAAAATCCACTTGACTCCTACAACTTTGCAATTTGGTGGTGGATCAATTAGCCCCATGTATCATTCCTTTGAATTGCTTGAATTTCAGCATCCATTGCATCCCTCCAATGCTGAATTTTTTATGCTTGTTTATATGTAACTGGATCTGAACCTGCAAACATGGCAAAATTCATTGCATCTTCCTCAGTTAAATCATCACCAGTGACATAATCTTTCATCCATATTGGTGGTCTTCTAGTCCTCCCTTCAGGTGAATTTTCTGAAGCTCTTGAAATGGTGGAATCCAACATATTTGAGGGTGAGTTTGGAGCTGCATCACTTGTAGTTGTTGCTGTATCATTAGATTTTTTTTGGATTATCTCATCATCTTCTTGACTAGATTCTTCCAAAGGATTCAACTCATTTGTATCAATTGTTATGCCTGTTTTTGCGTCACCCCAATCCCAGGCAGCACCCTCCTGAAATTTAACATCTCTGCTGATCCAAATTTTCTTCTTGATTGGATCATAAAGTTTGTAGGCCTTAGACTCCTCACTTACACCCAACAACACACATTTGAT